GTCAATAACATCTGCAACAACATGAGGATCGCGACTTCTCCAGGAAGTGACATCACAGACCCTGACCTATGCGACCTACGAAGGGCACGACGCCGACGCCGCTCTGCAGCTGTAGGGCGTAAAAATGCGGCTCTTGCCATGATCGCATTTCCACGGCAATGGCAGGCAGAAAGCACCGGCGACGAGTTGGAAACATTCGTCATGACCGCGCGGTGGGTTTCAGAGCCGCCGCCATCAGCTGGCGAGGCCCGAGTGGAAACTAATAAAGAAGGCCTGAAAGCGAGAAGGTGCGAGTGAGTCACTGAGATCATCACTGATTCCCAAACTGATCGAGTCGCAATGAAATGAAACCTAAATCAGAGGTTCCTGCTGTGAGCCTCGACTGATGGAGGAACGTTCTTCCTCCGCAGAGTGGAAACCGATTCACTCACGCTCGGGTCACCAGTTCATCATCCGCTTTCCATTCCGTAAACTGGGAGGTAAACTGGGACTTCATCAGTATTTTTCTGAGCTTGTTTGTTCTCCGAGAGCGGTTACATCATAGTGAAACTTCACTGCAGTCTGCTGAGCTGTTTCTACTAATTAGCATTTCAAGATCATAGATCAGCTGAATCTATGAAATTAGAAATTCACTGAACTGGACCTGGTCGCTCTGTAAAGGTCTGCAGATGAGTTCTGTTTGAACTGGGCCCAAACCAGCAAACAGACCTGCAATAAAATGAAGCAAAAGTTTGAAACAGCTCCCCATTTTCTAAAAATAAGTTTTATTAAAACTAAAGTTTTGGTTCTTTGACTGTAACGTTAAAAACTGCAGATTGGTAAAAGACGGGATCCAACCTGATCGATGAAGCCGCCAAGATTTAAAGAAATTGTGAAGAGAATTTCAAAAGGAAATGGAGCTGATATAAACTCTACCAGCAACCGATCATTTTAAAACGTCACTTGTAAAGATGTCAAAAACTTACAATAAAGTCTATATTTACTTTTAGCTTTGCTTTGAATTAATACATAAATTATACAAAATTAAAATTCATTAAATTCTTGGTGCATCAAGTAGCTCAAAGGTGCACAGTTTAAAAAATTCTGTCACCACTTGGGACAAAATGTTCATAAATAAATGAAGAAGTATTAAACATTGGATGAAATGATGGGAATTAAAGTAATTTATTGCACTAATTTACGCTTTCCTAATTTTTAAAGTTAAGTTTCTTAAATTCTCATCTTTGAAACAAGCATTTGTTTCTGCTTTTTTAAATTATTTTATCTTAGCCAATAACTTTATGAAAAACCCCAAATAAAACTGTATGTGATGTTTATGTGAAGTAAAAATTGTGTTATTGTTTCTTTTATCAATTTTATTTAATTCTTTTACTCATTTAACCACATTAGTGTTTGTTCAGTTTGTATGTAAGCCAAAGTCTCTGCAGATCCAGTCACATAGGTTTGCTGCTGACCTCTCCCTACAGCAGACTGATGAGTGGACGAATGCTTCACCACACGTACCAAAGTAAGGCACCGGTGCTTAACAGATAAGAACAGTTAGTTTAGATGATTATAGTGAGATGGAATAAACCCTAAAGTTTAACAAATTCCTCTACTAAATGTCACAAGCTCAGAGCACGTACAAAGCCTTACAATGTTCTTGTTCTGCAAAATTGTTCCATTAGCAAACCTGATTCTTGAAACTCACTTATTTTGAACAAGAAGATGTTTATCATCTAAGCAATTAACTGACCAGTCAGTGGGGATGACGTTGCTCCCTCCTCACCCTGTGAAGAGTGATTGTATGTGGGCGACTCTGGCTGTAGGGCAGAGTAATCGTCTTGCAATTGAAAGGTTGTAGGTTCGATTCCAGCTTTGTCCTGTTTTGGTGTATAAATGCGTATAAATGAGTCAATGTGACTCTAGTGAAAAGCGCTTTGAGTGGTAGAAATGACTGCATAAGTTCAGTCCATTAGCCATTGTGCATGAAACCTGTTCAACTGGATTGTATATATTGTTTACATGAAAAGTTCATTTTAAAATGCATGAAAATAACTTACTGTTTCTGGAGATTGGACGGGCTCTGAAGGTTCTGGTCCTGAAAGATCGGGTTTCGTCTCCGACAGCTTGCTCTTATGGTTCTGATGATCGTCGCTGTCATCTTGTGGCTTAAATAAAGCTTCAGCCCGGAGTGGCAGAAAATGAAACTCGCAGTAAAATTCGTCGAAATTTGGAAATTTCCCTTTCATGTCCCCTCTCTCCCTCAGAGCCACAGACACCCGGCCCCCACTCAAACCACAGGCAGGTAGAGAGGCTTCCCCACTGCTGCTGACTTAGTAAAACGCAGAAACAAAATTTCACCTAATAATGTTGAATCAGATGTTCCTTTGACAAACCATGGACTTATTCTTACTTTCATTCGCTGCAAGTTTCAAACTCTTTTCACATAAACTTTCTACCAACAAATGTTCTTTAAACAAATGTTTTACAATAAACCATTATTTTTCAAAGGAAAAATAATGTAAATACCATAAAATAAAAGCAACACATGTTAACAACCTCCTTTTCTGGTTTTTCAGACATTTTTATGAATTAAAAGAATCACATTTTCATCAGTAATCCCTTTAGCAGTGGTTAAAACTAACCTAAAATTGAACTAAATTAGAATCACACATCATTTACAATTAAGCAATAAAACTACAAGAAATAAAAAAGCATCCTGTCATCTAAAGAGTTTAAAACGATACAGGAGGAAAACCATCTTATAGATTTTTTTCTCTTCTTTCTAAAAGGAACTTATTGTATAAAATCAACTTCTTATGTTTTATATCATGTTATGAAGTTATTTCCTCATCAAAAACATTCCTCAGACCATACTTTCTTGCATTGCGATTGTTTTTATTGCAGATATCCAACATTTTACCAGCTGGATTCAAAGAATGCTCTTTTGAATAAGTCACAGTATCATCTGCTTAGAAATTCATATTTGAAAAGTTACATTAGCTTTTACTGGATCTCGGAGGTGTGTAGAACCTGTTTTAAGTCTTACAGTGTTAAGTCAATAAAACAGTGAAATTTACAGCTAATATTAGCAACATGAATACATTTTATTGACCCAAACACCTCAGTTTATTAAAGGATGTTGGATGTGAGACATTTTTTTATGAGAATCAAACCATCAGAAGTTAATGTCTGCCTACAACAGATTGTCGCTTAAATTGATGTTAATTTTCCTTTCTGGAATTTCAACTTCATGGACCCTACTACTAATTTTTGAACTGTCAGTTTGGAAACCATGAGTAAGCATAAAACTCACAGTTTCCACTTGTTCCCAAGTCATATTTGAAGCTATTAAACATAATTAAGAAACACATTATAAAGAATAAATAGGGCTGGTGTTGAGTTTTAAAACAGAAAGGAACACAGAAACTCATTTTTCTGTCTTTAATAACTTATGAACCAGAGTCATCAAATCGATCTGCACATCCAGGTTACTCCTAAGTACTGATTAATTGGAATAAAATATGAAAATCAAGACTAAAACCCACCTGTTAAGAGTTGCTTTATAACCATAGTAAATGAAATATTGACCAATATATTTCATGTGTATGATTTTGGTGATGTCACTCATCAAAATGTAATGTTTGTTCAATTGTTGATTGTATGATGTTTTCCTTATAACTTTGTAATTTTGTGTTTTTGTTATGAAAAGCACCTTGAACAGTGTCGCTGCTGAAATGCTGTACAAATTTAAACTTGATTGATTGAAAAACAGGGGAACTTTATGGATGAACAGTTAAAATAATGCATTTTTAATTTAAATATTTGAGAAAGTCTGGAAAAAAATGGAAATTTTGAAACGATTGAACATTTATTCAAGAAACTTTCAGAACATGATTAATGAGTTGTAAAAACATTTCTTTCTTTCTTAGATATGAAGTTTGATTTTGTGTCCTACAAAATAAAAAAGTGATTTCTGCAGACATTTATTGCTGATGTGATTTTTTAAAACTCTTGACATTTAGACATGTCATCCCGAAACATGAGGATGGGGGTATTAAATGAGCAATATGATTTTTTAAAACCATTTCCCACTACATGCTGCAGTCATGCTGCTTGTTTCTGTTTTGCTGACGCGTTTGGTGAGTTCGCATCAGCGAAACGCAGAAACAGGCTGGAAACGTTGAACTAAATCATCTCTGCGTAAATGTTTCCTCTCAGGCTCTGCGGACACGGCTGTCCACAGATAGTTAGTCCACAAACATGTAGGTTTTCACTCTGCATGTCTATGAATCAGAGTAAAACTGCGGTTCAACCCTCAAGTGCTTCAGTTTAGGTTTACAGAGAAGACGAGCCAACAAACAACAGGAAGTAGTCCCGACGCACATTTAGACAGAACAGAGAGAAGGCAGGAAGTTGCAGTTGTAGAGAAATGTGACGAGGAAAGTCCTCCTCAAGGCTAGTTTCCACTTCAGCTGCAACAGGAAGACTGAGGTGAAGTTTGGATCAGATGATGCAGAATGTTTCTGGATAAATCTGAGGTCAGCAGCTGTCAGCATCGTGATTCTGCAGCTGAATGGTTTGAATAGCAGTTTGCAAATAACAGATTACAAATAATAAATATCTTTATTGATGAGCTCATTTGTCTATTTATTCAATAATTTTAAGCAAAATGAGGTTTTGAATGGAAAACGTTGCTGATTTTGTAGATGTATAGTTTTCAATTTGCATTTAATTAATTACAGACCCAGCAATTAACTTGATTAAGTGTGCCTGCCAGCCAGCCAATAAATTTACAGGGCTTTTACCATGAAGTAATTATTTTGTCTACACATGACTTTTGGTGTAAATGCGATTATTTGCTTTTACTATAATAATAATAAATAATAATAATAATAATAATAATAATAATAATATAAATTGTGTACGTGCCATGAACTTATTTATGCCGCACTGCTTAGTCTGATTGGTTATCTGTGACGACAAGACCCCGCCCACCGGATTCAACTCAGAAACCCGCCATTTTGAACCAAACCGGGAAGAAAATACTCGGGCAGAAGATGTTTAACTTTCTTTTATTTTTCTTCTATGTGAATGTGTGAGCAGTTGAACCTAATGCCGAAGTGTTTGGTAGTTACTCTCAAACAGAACCCTGCTTCGAATGGTGGTTTGGAGAATCCAGGTTTCAGTTGAAACGGAAACGAATCAAAAACGGTTTGGGTTTAAACGGAGTTTGGTGGAGTTTTTCCCGGGATGGAGGTGGACATCCTGGAGTTCAAGGTTCCTACGGACAACAACAAAACGGTGTTCGTTTGGGACATCCCTCCGGTTCTGACCCAGGATCGGGTTTATGTAAGTCCGAACTCAGAGCTAAGATCAGAATCGGGATGAAGTTACAACAGAACTCAGAATGAGGGAACAGCTGGTATGTTGAGAAATCAGATGTTTTTAGGTCAAAGTAAAGTTAACTTCTAAATGGTTTAATTTATTTATTCATTATTATTTTCTCAGTTTTTTTTCTATGAACAATTTTTTTTTTCTAAGCTATAGTTTCCATTTCATTTTATTCAAATATTTCAGTTGATTTTTATTTTGAATATTTTCTTCATAAATATGAAAACAAGATGACATATTTTTGGTTTACATTTTTTTTTGTTACTTTCAAATGTCTTCCACGTATTTTATTTGTTCAGTTTTGTCATGATTCTGTTTAATCAAATATTTTCCATTTTCTCAGTGTTTATGTCACAGACGTCTACACTGAAGCAGCTTCCTGATCTGCTGTTTGTCATTTCAGGAGCAGCTCCATCATGTCTTCTCCTCTTTTGGACCGCTTTACCTGTTGAAGGTGTGTCCCAACACTCCGCTCCACCCACCTGGTTTCTACGCCATCATCAAGTTCTACTCTGCTGCTCAAGCTGCCAACGCCCAGAGACTCACAGATGGACGCCCTTTGCTTCACAACTCAGCCCTCAAGGTGACCCCTTCCGTCTCTGGATTATGCTGTTACTTGTTTGTTACTTCTGATTGTCTCACCTGTGTTTGCTCCTACAGGTGAAGCTGAGTTCCAAGCAGACTCCCCACTTCCTGTCTGGCAGGAACTCTCCTCTGAGCCACGCCCGCTGCCTAGAACTGGCCAATTACTACCTGGGCTTCAATGGCTGGACCTCTGACATCATCACAGTGAGAAACGCACACCTCACCTGCTGGTCCAGGTGAGTAAGAGCAAGCAAGGTCACTTCCGGTCTGTGTGTCCTCAACAGCTGAAGGAGCTCACCAATGAAGAAGATGGTGAGGAAGAAGAGGAGAATATGGGCGGAGCCAGACAGAGGCTAAGGTTCGGTTGTATGATGAAGCTTAGCTTCCCGCGTTACAGCGTGACAACCAGAGGAGCCGCAGTGGTGGAGGAGACCTTCAGCTGTACAGGTGAGAAAACGGCATGTTGGATTACCTGCCTGAATGCAGATCAAAGGAGCTGAGATAGAGGAAGTTCATCCACATCCCCACCTCCAACATCCTTCTAACCGTACAGCTAGACAGATGTAAGAGAGGTAGCAAAAACAAATGAGGTGGGTTAGCATTCCTTGTTGGCATCTCATCACAAAAGTAATTATTTCTGAAAGGGTAGGACTTTTTATGAAATTTGTGCAAATAAGTTTGTATTTAATTGCAATTTTATATTAAAAAAATTATTGACAGCTGTGGAGTGAAATCTGTGTTTTGATGTTTGTTTATATTTTTTTTCAAATAGAATATTAAAATAAATATGGTAAATGGTAATCTAAATGATGTCATGGTGGATCATGTTGGCTCAGGGCCCCAACCAGGCTGGAGCCTCCCCTGGATCTGACGTCTGAGCAGAACATTGAGTCAGTGGCTGCTGTCCCCGTCGTCTCTCTGTGTCCAGGTCCAGACGTCCTCCTGCAGAGACGCTGCAAGCTGCAGCGGTCGGTCAGAGAGAAGGCCCTGGTCCAGGCCTTCTCCTCCGTGCTGCTCATACTTCTGGGTAAACTGAGCTCATGTTACAGTGAAACTACAGAGGTGTGTGTGAGCTGATCCCAGATCTGCTGCTGCAGGGAGTGATAAGGTGATGGTGGAGCTGAAACAGACCTCAGATCAGTTCGAAGCTGATGAGACTGAAGACGTCCTGGAGGTAAGCTCACCTGTCCTCCCCTGCACTGCAAAATCACCCAACCGTACCAAACTAGTTATTTAATTTGGTCTTATTTACAGTGTTCAAAGATATTATATGATCTGAACACAAATAACTAACTTCTTAGCAAGATATAGGAGCTTGTTTTAAGTAAATATTTACTTAATATTGATGAAAACCTCTAGTTCCACTGGCAGATTATTTCACTTGTATAAAGTGAACAATGTTTATGTATAATTGAACAATTCAGCCAATGGAAATGGTACTCTGATATCAGTTTTAAGGAATAATCTGCCTGTGCAGCTGTGCAAATGAATTAGATTAAAGAATAATTGACTTAAAACAAGCTCTTATATCTTGCTAAAAAGTTAATTGTGTGTTTGTTTGTTTTTAAATGTACCAAGATGTTTGAAACTAGACAGAAATATTTTGGTAAATGTGTTGGGGTATTTTTTCAGTGTGTTTTTTTCAGGTGTGTGTTTCTCCTCTGCATACTGACTGTGTGTGTTTCAGGTGAATGAGTTTTCCCTGACAGAGGCTGATGATGAGGAGGCTGATGATGAAGACTGGGATCTGACCGTGTCTTAGACTCTCAGGATTACAGATCGGACTGATCTGAGGTCGGCTGCAGGCTGACCAGCCTCCTGCCTTCCTGATTGGCTGGTTCTGCTCAGGCGTATCAGACAGAAAACAGACTCTGGGATGCTGAATGGTTTTATTGCTGAACAAGGCTCTGGTTCTGCACAGGAAGGTTCTGGTCTGAGCCGTTTATCTCCCAGGACCCCTCACCATTTCTGCCACTTTCTGCCTCCCAGCTGGAGTGGAGCGCAGGTCTCCCCCCACCACCACGTAGCCCTGCGTACAGGAAGCAACAGGCAGGAAGTGGTTAGAATGATGGTAGATGAATGGAATCTGGTTAACCATTAATAACAGGCAGGAACTGGTGGGATGATGAGTAAAGGTTGGACATTCACAGAAACATTTATAGTTTCAGATCAGTGTGCAACATGCGGTCAGTTTTGGAGTTTCACTCATCAACTGATGTTACAATAAATCCTGTGCAAAAAGACCACATGTTTTTAATTTTAGGAAAACTGAAAATTAAAATGTTTCTGTTGTTAAAATAAAGATTTCAGAAACAACAAACTTTGTTTTATTGGATCAGTTATCAGTTCATGATGTAATCCAGGATTGACCAACTAATTGAAAGGAGTTTTTTATGTGGAAGATGGTCTGTTGAGTTAAAAACTGTTTGTGTTGAATATTGATGAACGTTTATTCCAATGGCAGAATATTTGTCCATGTTTTGAGTAAAATAATCCGATAAGCAACTGATCAAATGATGTTTGATCATAAATTAGTTGTTCTGACTCAGAATTGTTGAATATTTTTACAGAAAAATATCAGTAAATCTGAACTCTTTCTGTTTTTGATGCCATTAATCCACATATCACAGATTGAGGCGAGTTGCCTCCCAGAAAGACTCACATCTTCATACTGGATGTTTCCCTGGATGAAGTTAATTTCTGGAGGAAATGGAATCTCAACTCCTTCACCAAACCAACCTGCAGAAACTCAGTTCATGTTCATGTCACCTTCTGTCATTAGACAGCGACTGTCAGTCAGTTCTTTTCCTCTGCATCATCTCACCTGACAGGAACTTTGTGGCTTCCTTGTTCACCTTGTTGTTCAGAAAAACTACCTGCTCAGCAGCAACACAAAAAAATCATTACTCAGCAATTACTGCACAGAGGTGTTGGCACAGAGGTCTGGTAAATGTTCTTACCAGAACTTTTCTAACTTTATTTTTGGTTTCAATTCGACAGCTGAAAAAAAAAAAACAGTTTTAAAAGGAATTAGAAACTTGATCTGAAAGATCTGAAGAGTTTTCATGCTTCCATACTTGATGTCTTTTGAAGGCAAAGTGAGACGATTCCCATCAATAGTAACCATCATGCTGACGGGGCAAACCTGCAGCAGAAATGGAGATGGATGAGAAGAAAACGCCGTTGGTCCGCCTGAATCTCCTCTGTGGGTCTGTGTGCGTTACCGCGGACACGGAGAAGACGTCGGGCGTTTGGGTTTCAGGGGCCATGACCTTAACTCTGAGTCTCATGTTGAAGACGAAACCGTCACACTGGGTGATGCTGATGGTTGGCGCTTCGGTGAGCCCCACCTCAGCTTTCAGAGGTTCGTCCAGGTTCCGCGGTTGCTGTGGAAATAATGTGTCATCATTCAGTTTTGACTTCAGAAGCGCAGCAACAATCCCCCTGTTTCAGAACATCACTGGAGTATTTATTTGTATAAATCTTATTCCACTTACTGTGAAGAACTGCTTGACTCTTAAAGCGAACTTCATGACCTTTGAGTCAATCTGCAGTAAAAGAAAGAGGATTCTGAAACCTCGAATAAGGAAACTACATAATCAATGAGTTTTAGTTTTCTTTACTGAGGATTGGACACGTCAGCATAACAACGTCTTTACCTACCGTGTCAAAGTTTTTTGATAGGGATCCTGCTTCGTAGAGGCAATTGGCTGCAGAGTTGAAGAAAAATTCAGAGAGGCCTATATAAGCCATCATGGTGTCCTCTGTGAAAACCGGCTCCACAACTTTTTTCACCACAGGAGGGGGCTGTTGCTCCCTGTACGCCTGGCCCTGGTGGATTTAACACTGAATCTGTAATCATGACTCTAACAGGAATAGCATGTCAGCATGCATCAGCGAGCAACAGTGAAGGTAAAAGTGAAGCTTCCTGACTGACGAGAATGTGCAGAGGAACTGGACAAGACAAAAACACGAGACGAAAAAAGTCTTCCCCTATATTAAGACTCATTACCAGGTAATCTGTGTTCATATCGTTCATTCCTTAATTACACACGCCTGACTGAATCTTAATATGAGACAAAATTTGCAAGTCTTTGCATTTCAAGCAGGTTGTAAGTTTAAAATCTTGACCCAAATCTAAAAAGCAACAAAGCAAATCTTTCCTCACTTTAAAAGCCACGTCCAGGCTTGTAGCTGTCACTTGGATGTCTCTGGTTAGGGTGTAGTCAAAGTTGATGCCCAGGTCGAGGGGTAGCGGTGCAACCATTGGAATCCTGTTCAGCAGTATGTTCACAAAAAACGGAGCAATTCTCTTGAAAACGGGGCAGAACTGTAATCAGAGAGAGTCCTGTTAGGCTTCATACTGCTGGTTAGCACTGGCTACTGCAAAGATAATTAAAGTCTGATATCTGGTGACTATTCATCAACATTCAGGTTCAGACAGAAGAGGAAGAAGGAAATTAAACCCCAGTGGAGATGAAGGAGGCCGCAAGTCTTCGAGCTCTCGCCTCAAGATTCCTGGAAACAAAACACAGTTTTCAGAACCTTCACAGACCCAGAATCTGCTTCAGATAGTCTGGATCTCAGTTACTCGAATCGCGTTGTTCCAACAAATCCAATTTGGTCGGCTGAAGCCTGGCAGGCCCTCATGTCAGCTGCCAGCCCTCCGTTACGGTTTCTGACCAGACCAACCTCCATGTTGGCGGCTACGCCTCTAAGGATGAATTCTGGAGACATCCTTAATTGACTGCAGAACCAGAAATGGACTATTTAAGTCATGATGATCAGAAATACAAACTCTGAAGTTTTAAAGCTCTTCCTTTCTAAAGTAATCATTAGATCTGCTGATTTACTGATGTTACTGAATTTCCCACCGGTTTGGACACCGAGTCTGACGTTCCACTGAAACAGGATTGAGTACTTACAAGAAGCAAAGATTAAAGGTGGCGTCAAAGTTCAAGGTAAAGCCGAAGTTCTGAATCATGAACTGGAAGCCATAGTTCTCCACGAACGAAAGATGAGCTTGATTGACGTTGATCCCAGTTAACCTCACACTGAACAGAAGAGAAGAAAAGAAACTTTCATTTGATATTTGATTATTGATTATGCAAAATAATATTTATCTACCAAACCTAGACGTTATCTCGGAGCCAGTTCACAAGTACAACTTTACAAATGATTAATGTATGCAATCAGATTTTGTGTCAGTGGGCGTCCAGTAAAGATCGTCTCTTACTTGGTGATTCCACACGTATTAGACTGGAAACCTTCAAACACTTTTCCTTCCACTTGCTCCTGAAACATGGCCAGAGCTTCGTCTCTCACTGTGGAAATACAAACAGCTTCATGACATCACAGGAGCTCAACAGCCAGAAATTACAGCTCCGTTCTTATGTTCCAGCTCCAGGTCAACAGGAACCGTACAGATGTTCAGGGCATGGCTGGTGATCCGGACTTTAAGGGCGGCGGGATCGAGCCCAAAGGAGGAAAACGTGAAGCTGAGGAAGAGGAAGAAGGAAAAGAAGGACTTGGGAATGTCAGAAGAAGAGAAATTATTTTTAGAGAATCAGCATCTTCTTCTTTGCATCTGGAAGCATTTTAGGACTCTGGTCAACATTGTTACCGGTTTGACTCTGGTTGATGGTGAATTCAAGAGTTCCTGTTGTTCTGGAACCAAACCGTCTGGTTCATGACCAATCTGAAGCTTCTGGAATCAATCGGATCTGAAGCGGACGACTGCAGCCGCTGATCTGATCCTCCACAAACCCACTGCTGTAGTTTTCTACTCCTGATTCAGCATTTCATCACCGTGAGCAGACATGACGATTGATTCTCTACTTCCCCTGATTGGGTCAAATGTTTCTCCAACCATGATGCTCCATCACGCTGCAGGTTTTCCCACAATTCCCACATCACTGCAAAAACACAAACTCTCACCAAGTAAATATCTTAGTACACTTGAAACCAACTTACAAGTAACTTTTCAGCAAGATATAGGAGCTTGTTTTCAGTCAATAATTATTTGGCATTCTTTGGTTTCATTGCCAGATTAATTCACTAAAAATATGGAAAAACGTCTCGTTACAGGTGACATAATCTGCTAAGCTTATTCACGTGATTTTAATTTCATTTACTATTTAATGGAAACATAATATAAATAAAAATTTGCACACGTTTGTAATGGAAGCGCAGCTACAGTGGACTGGAAACGGATCCATCTTGCTGCAGTTGTTGGCATTGGCACTGATTGTCTCTGGAATATCTCAGACACTTGTGTGGTTCAAGGTTAAAGCAGAAAACTGTAGCTGGTTGATGCTGGATCACTTCTGTGGTTTAGCTTCAGGAGGAGAAAGGAGAAGTCACAGTCTGCATGAACGTGATTAAGTATTTCTGATCCTTGAAACTGATCAGAAAAAAGAGAGCAAAAAGAGAAGCACAACGTCTGCATCACCAGTGAGAGCAGAAGGCAGAGCTTATCTCCTGCACAGCATCTGTCCTGACAGGATCTTACCCAACAGCCTGCAGCGATTCAGCAGCTTTTCTACAGAACATGGATGTTTACTAAGATCAGAAATGGTAATCAGCATGAGAAAATCATGCATTTTCTCCAGCAGAGGAAGCATCAGAAAGGGGAAGCTGCAGTGAAAATGAACTTGCTGTCCTCTGTAGGCGACTGTGGAGTCAAACTCTCGTCCTGGAGGGCCAGGCTCCTGCAACTTTTAGATGTGTCCTTTGTTCTACACACTTGAGTCAAATTGCAAAACGGTCTCAAGTTGAGCTCCTTAGAGCTCTGCTAGTGAACAAGACAAGATCAGATTTTATTACTCGAAAGAAAACTTCAAGGAGGATGATGGCGGCACATGTTTTTTATGACTTATGATCTGAACAAACGTATTCACGTGGGACTTCAACTGCGTTTCCTAATTAGTCGGAAATGTTTTGCGCAGATTTCCAAAAGAAACGCAGAAAGTGAAAACATCTCTGCCAGAAACATTTCATCGTCCTTCTGTCGGGTCCTGAGTTTCTGTAGAGATCACAATCCAGTAATAACTGTTTATTTCTGAAGATCAATAGTTTTCACTCATATCCCTGAAATCAGGAAGCTGAACATCCAAATCTCAAACAAGAGTTTAAATGTTGCAACATTATAAATGATTGTTGGCGTTCTTCATCCCACCGCCAGATCTGGTCTGAACCAGTTTATAGATGCTAACAGGAAGAAAGACATCAGTAGCAATAGGATAGTACTGGAACCAGTTCAGTTGGAAGGATGTCACTTTCACATTTCTCCATCCTCAACATTGTTGCTCAACGATGTTCAGTTGGTTATGTTTGGTAACTCTTGCATCCCATTTAGAGGTAAAATTATTCAAAGGAAAGATATTTGGCTATTGGGTAAATTAACTTGGAGAAAAAGTTGTTTTCTTCAACTCAGTTCCTGCAAAGATTCAGAACATTCCCCAAAAAAATGGGAATGCTACATAATCAGTATATAGCTATTTGTCTCGGGTGTAATGGATTTGTGATCCGGTTCAGGGCATCAAGACGATAACAGTCAAGCACCTTTGGGATGTTCTGGACTAGAAAAAGTTTGTTTTATGAACTTTACCTTCCGTCTTTCAGGACTTAAAAGTATCTGCTACTGATGGATCAAATCTGAACCTCAGGTCAGAGACAAAACATCATCACAGCACCACATTCCCTTTAGGAGCATCACAATAAACCAGTGAATAGTAAAAAATAGTAAAAAAATACTTTAATATCATCACCATACACACAAAACATCCATCGACGCTGCAGGGAATGCTAACAGACTACAGCTGCTTTCAGTGGCTGTCAGAAATGACCAAACTGTACACTCATCTCTACAGCACGAACAACACTGGACCACGCAGCACCTGAAGGCAGCAGGATGAGTCTACGGACGAGTCATGAAGGCAGCATGGACAGAAACGCTGACCCTGCAGCAACATCCGGTCCTTAAAGGAGTATTCCAATATTTATAACATAGCCCTTCAAATTAAAACCTTGCTAGTTGAATGGATCATTTCCAATGGCTAAGGGCCAATCACACACAGGTCAGTAACAATTGTACCAATAAAAAATGTTTGCGTTCGCAGCTCCACCTCTGAATAACTCAGGGTAAACGGGTGAAGCGAGTGGCAGCAGCCTGGCAGTGTTGATCAGATTTGGTCCGGATTGGTTCAGTTTGGTATAAGATCCATTTCTATGGATACCAGAGGTCTCTCAGTGGCTTTCAGTCCAAATAGTGACCCAGTGTTTCTGGATCTTCCGGTTCTGGGTCGCGGTCACTTGTTCCTGGATCAGGAAACCATCATCATCGACATGCTGCTCGGTGTTACCCTTAATCCTCCTCTGCTGGAGCACCGCCGTCTGCCACGCCTCAGGACGCACAAAGAACTGACACTGCAGGGAAAAAAAAAACAGAAATAGTGTTTCCACTCAACCACAGCGGACAGGAGGGCAGGTGAGCAGACTGACTGGTGAACAGGTAAGTAGGCAGACAGGTGAATGGGTCAGGATTAGGGCAGGTGAATGTGCAGCAGGTGTGTGAATCAGAGACCAAACAGCCTGAAATGTCTTAAGCTTTATGGTGAACCTATTCTCTGATTGGTTAAAAACATCTAAAGATGGGCGTGGCCATATCTGCAGACAGATACTAACCAAAACATGGCTGCTAAATTTGGTCAAGTATAAATTCTAAAAAAAGAGACAGACAGAAAACTATGAAGTAAGTCAGGGTAGACTGCAGTCTGTACAGTCAGTAACCAGACTGTATGTTTTTCGGTGTTCCTTAAAGCAGAGTTTTCTTGCAGCAGTCAGTAAGTGGTAAACAGTCGGGCTTTGCAACAGGAACCACCTGGAGCAACTTGTGCAGTCAGTAACCAGCCAGTAAACACAATGTAAGTAAGCAGCAAACAGTTGTTGGTCCCTTAAGCAGGACTTTCTCGAAGCACTCAATAACCAGATCGTTAGCAGCCAGTAAGCAGTAAGCAGCCGGTCAGTGGTCCTTACAGCAGGCCTCTCCTGCAGCAACCTGCCCGGCCTCAGAGCTCCTCGGTCAGCTTGTCCATGTCAGACGGTTGGCTCTTCATGTGGGCCCTTTGGGTTTTGGCCTCGTACATCTCCCTGGTGCTGGCTCTCTTGAAGAAGCCACACTGAACAGCAGGGGGCAACATAACAATTTACCAACCGGCGTGAACGACGCCAAGGGCATGAGATGATGAGAATGTCTCATGAGGTGGATCCTGAAAACCAGCGTCGGGTTTCACAAACCTTCCACAGCAGACCGCAAATCACAGCCAGCAGCAGAACTCCAGCCAGGACTGACACCACTATGATCCACCAGGGGGCGCCAGAGTTCAGCTGCAGCTCAAACTCAGGGTAAATGTTGACCTCAATCTGCAGACAGGAAGCAGAGGCTCAGGGAGCGCGCAGCAGGCATCAGGCTGGGATGGGAGCAGCAGGATGTTACCAGTGAGGGGGACGACTTCATGGTGACGGTTCTCTTCAAGGTCTTCAACTTCAAAGTGGCCTGGCCTTGAACCAACACACTGCTTGCATCTCTGTAGTCCTGAAACAAAACAGGAGGCATTCTACTCAGTGGCCACTAGAGGGCACTGCAGCACAATGACGTGTGCTACAGTTCACATGCTAATATTCTTTAGTCAAGCATTTTATTCACTTGTTTGTGTTCAGGGTTTGGTCTGGATTGGACAGGAAGTGACCATGACACTGGTTGAACTGGTGAAGCTGGTGAGTGTTGCTCAGAACCAGTGGTGGGCACACTTATGCTAATCTGCGCTATTTTTTTATTTGGCCAACTTTAATTTGGCCATTAAATTTCGCAGGATAAATTCTAAAGTGCTAATTTATTTAGTTGTTTTGTGAACTTTCAGTTGAATATAGTTCAAGATGTTTGTTGATTTAGTCATAGAATATTTCATAATGAAAGAATTAAATATAATTTTCTTCATGACTAAAAAAATATACATATAAAATTACATATAATTGATTAATTATGATTATAATTACAATTTTGATTAGGGGATGACTGTGTGAGTGATAACAGTATTAGCATCATGAAAAAACATGTACATAAAACACAATCTTTGCTTAAGATTTCTTCAACTTGTTAGACATTTATATTCATGCTCTTATTTTGAAATAAGTGAAGCCTGTTAAAGCAGCAGTTCTGTTTCCTCTAATTGTGTTTTCTGTCTTTTTTAACTTTATTTCAAGCAAGAAACATAAAGGAGGAAAATAGAACAATAGAGAACAAGCTACAACAATAAATACAATTTCTAAGTATTTCTTTAGCATTAGCTTCCATTAAATACCATGTAGCACTTTAGCATTAGCGAAACTAATGTTTATGGTTAGCACTACTAACATTTTAGCTAGCGGTGGCCACAGCTGGTGGAACCTGACCGATGATCACCGCTCTGGGTGATGGTACCTCAATCATGGTGGAGTTCCACAGTCGGCTCTTCACCGTCAGAGTTGCAGAGTTGTTCATGTTGAGCAGAGGACATGAGAACTTCACGCACCTGGCCCCACTGCTGCAGCTCTGAAACACATTAGGATGATCACGTCATCAGAAGGTTCCCTCTGTTTAGCCGCCAGTGCTAACCACATTTTCAGAAGTCTGGCTTTTTAGCTGAAGCTAC